AATGAATGCCGGGTCCTTTTTTAAAGGATAAGTTCACCTTTTACACAAAATTAATAAACGCACACTTTTTTTGCAGGTAAAAAAGTGCATTTTTATTTTTGTCTACAGCAGGCTGGAAAGCATTACACCAGCGATTAGTAGATTGCTGATGCTATGCAGGCCTTCTGCAAACCTGTCAGAATAGCTGCTTGCCGTACGGGATGTATTGTCAAGCTGATATTCTGATAGGAAGCTTCAGTGAACTACTACGGCATTCCACAGTGCTGTGGTAGTTCATTGAAAACTATAAGGCGACAGCCGCTAAGGCTGTTGGGACTTGCAGTTCATTAATTCACGGGAGCCCGTGAATGAATGATGCGGCTGCATGGGCGGACAGAAGTACGGGGATACTTCTCCCCGTACTGTCTGTGAGAAAGGGGGGGGATCTCTGCGGCTATGGGACCATGTTACATGTTCCACCCTAAAACATTTGTGGAACATCTAACGTTCCCAAAGGTGAACTTATCCTTCTTAAAACTCCTGTAGTGTCACGCGACTTGTGTATACATAGGAGCATACTTATTTTCAGATGTATGGAATGTCATTACTTTACAGTAAAATGCTATGCGAAGTGTATGTGTATATTAAGGGAACCTCCTGACAACTTAAATGTTAATCCCTGTATTCTTTTTCTTTTAATAAACCAGTATCGTGGAAATGGAGACTGTTACAATTTGGGTTGCAGTGAAGATATTTCTCTTGAAAGAGACATTCCTGTAAAGTAAGTGCTATCAATTGGCATGCAAGTTATGTTTTTGAGGCGGTCAGTGTGTTTAAAAAAAAAGAAAAAAAATTATATAAAAATGTACTTGTCAGGTTTTCAAGATTGCAATAACCAGACTAAAAACCCTGATTTTGAGTGGTTATGGTTTTGACTTAATTCACCCAACCTGTAGTGGTCAAGATACTAAAGCCTGGTACACACTATTGTTGTTTTTTTTTTTTTTTTTTTTCTTTTTCGCTCAACTCAGCTGCCCGAAAGAAAAATAGCTTAGGAGGAGCTGTTCTAACTATCTGATGTTAGTACAGCAATCTCCCCTATTGTGTTATGCCAGGGGGCCTGTCAGTTTAGGTGGACGGTAGGTTTGCAGTTGTGCTTTTTTTTTTTTTTTTTTTTTTTTTATTTCCTATTTTCGGGTGATGGATTGAGCAGTTCTCCGTGTTCAAAGCTTGGGATATTTTTTTTCAGAATCTAACCCTGCTTTAAACTTTATCCCTGATCTCTCTGGTTTGTTCCTTTTGCCTTCAAAATAATGCTGCTTGTTCACTAAGAGCCTTGTCGCACTGCATGCGAATTGGCATGCTATTTGCATGCCATGCAACTTGCAAATTGCAGCCTATTGTCTGCAATTAGAGCGGTCATATCGTTATGTGGTTCCGACTTAAAGCCACATCAATTTTTAAAGTAGTACATGCACTACTTTTGGTGTGATTTGCATAGACATCTGGTATCAGATGTCTTGCAAATCGCACTTGAAAATCGGTATGTCATCCAAATTTGAAATTGTGCAACTTCACTGTAAGTCGCTCATTTCAAAGTAGGGTTTGATGTTACTGGAGTGTAGTGTTCTCTAACAAACCTTTTGAAGGTTTCACAAAACAGCTGTATATATACTGAGATTAAATTACACACAGGTGGACTCTATTTACTAATTAGGTGACTTCTTAGGGCAATTGGTTCCACTAGATTTTAGTTTGGGGGCGGAATACAAATGCACGCCACACTCTTCAGATATTTAGTTATAAAAATGTTTTTGAAAACCATTTTTTTTCCTTCTTCAAAATTATGTACCACGTTGTGTTTGTCTTGTCACATAAAATCCCAATAAAATACATTTACATTTTTGGTTGTAACATGAGAAAATGGAGAAAAATTTCAAGGAATATGAATATTTTTTTTCTCTAAACATCTTCCAGGACAGCCTCCTTGACATAGAGCTCCTCCCTCCGGGACAGGAAACATGTAAGCACAGTACTTTAAAAGGCGGACTCCCAGGTCTCCCTCTTCAGTTTTTAGTGTTTCCTCCGGAGGGACGGGTGAAGTCTCAAGGAACCGACTCTGTGGAAGCCCTAGGGGGTGTGCTGGTGGCTCCTGTTCTGGCTTACCTCTTCCTGCCCAGCACTTTCCCTCCACTTGCGGAGTGGGGCTGCACTCCTGATGTCTTTCCATGCCTCAATGGAGGATGACCATCGGTGGTGTCTGTCCAGCATGGGAGGGTCCAGGACCTTTAATGCCCATCATTCCGCCTTCCTGGGAGCGTGCTGCGGCGACCGATGCACAGTGTGCAGTGTGACCGCCGGGTGGGCAGGCAGCTGCGACTTCTGAAAGGTGCGCTCCAAGCACCCGAAGTTCCGGTCGTGGGGACGTCATCGACAGGCGCCAGAGACTCGTGGTTCTTGTCTCCATAGCGGCGCAGGCATGTGGTCGGGCAGCCAGTGTGGTGTAGACCCAGCAGAGGCTGCGGCTCCACACCACGAGGGCCGTGATGGAAGGCGCTTGCCCCTCCCAAGCGGACCCTGGTTCTTCAGGCACCGTCTCCTCTCAGGTAGACTTGGGGACTCTGCATTCCCTCTTGCTGATCCCAGGGGGTGGTTCTTTCCACAGTCTGAGTGCAGGTGACGGTGGACACACTTCCTTTTCCTTGCTCCCCCAGCACAGTAGTGTTTGGATGAGGGGTCCTGGGCTGATTATTGTCTGCATTGTGTTTTTCTGCTCGCTCGTTGGTTAAAACTCAGGACAAACACAGTCGGGCCCCCAAGTAGAAGTGTGTAGTTTGGTATGGCTAAATTGGGTTCAGCTTGGGAAAAACTCTTATGCCGCAATTGTGTGGATAGCCTAATTAATGATGAGTCATTTACAGCCTGCCATAGGGTTCTCGCCTCCATTAAGGATGTCATGTCCTCTACATTTCAATCATTTAGATCCCTATTGGAAAGAATGCAGTCACCACTGGGTCCTTGGACCCAGTCACGGGTACGATGGTATCCAAGTCATTAAGGGAGGGAGACCCGGTGGAGGGTCCTAGGTCCCTTGCTTCCTCACGGCGGATTCAGGCTCAGATGAGGATGGTGAAGTTTGCTCATCCATAGGTTCCAGGTACAAGCTGGCCCTTGAGAATGTGGATGACCTCCTCAAGGCTAGCTACGAAACTTTAGCGATCAAGAAGGAGGACCTATGCCTAAATATTTATATTAGTGTATTGGATCCTGATCATAGTTAACTGATCCTCACATAATACATACAAAGGCATACAACAAGGGTCTTGAATTAAAATCAGTCAGCAAAATTTCATTCCATCTCGCTATCGCACACCATAGTCCCCCTGTACATTTTCGTCTTAAGCGTACCTTTCACATTGTAGTCCCCTTTACATTGCAGTGACCTTTACCTCGCAGTGCCCCTTAGCACAGCACAGCGCATCCCATGGCAGGAGAGAAGCAGTGTATATAGTGGCTGGCTGTCACTATGTCACTATATGTCAGTGCCGGTTTTTAAATGTAATCGCCATTTTTTTTTTTTTTTTACTATAGCTCACAGAATTAGCTGTCACTTTCCGCCCAGCTAAAGGAAATCCTGTTTCCTTTTAGTTTATTTTTTGAGATAAAAGAAACAGTTTCCTTTAGCTTTGGGGAAAGTGACAGCTAATTCTGTGAGCTATAGTGAAGAAAAAATAAAGCCGTTCATTGCATTTAAAAACCGTCACTGACTTATATTGACAGCCAGTGCGGGAGCCTCTCTGTATACACTGGCTCCCTCAAAGTATACACTGCCCCCCACCCCCTACAAAGAGGACCTGTCACTTGTATGCTATCACATAGGGGACTATTGGTCCCCTATGTGATAGCAATAAAATCATACGTACAAAAAAAAAAATATACGTGAAAGTAGAACAAAATACTAAAAAAAAAAAAATTGGAGCCTCCCCACATACGCAGACGTTTCGTTTTTTTGCCACATGCATTCTGAATTTTCAGTATCGGTTTCGACACCAGAATTTTCATTTCAGTGCACCACTATTAAATATACTGGAATTTTTTTTAGTTTTTTTTTTTATTTTTGTACTAGTAATGGTGGCGATCAGCGGGACTGAAGGGAGGGGATATAAAAATATATGGTCTTTTGATTGACAAGCCCATATGTTTCACAAGTTGAAAATGTTGCATAAGCCTACTCGTGTGACAAGTTTCTCTGTTTAAAGGATAGTATAACTAAGAATCTATCTTTACAACATATCTCAATGTATAACCAAAAATCTATTTATGTAACAAATATCACCAACTTATAAAACATAAATTTAAATACACACATATACTACTAGAATGTTCTCAACTTCCTAATGCCGTGAAATATATCACCCCCAACATAAAATGATTTACCCAGTAATTATAATTCATGAATGTCGTTTTACCTCCAATACAGAGTAGCTGCTTTCAACACAGCAGCTGCTTTCTACACATAGCTGCTCTTTACACATCGGAAATATGTGTTTTCTGATGGTCTTAGGGGACCCCTTGTTCGACCCCCAAAGGGGTCGCGACCCACAGGTTGAGAACCACTGTACTAGAATATATATTATTTCATACAAATTCTATTTTGGTTCACTTCTGACTCCCATGACATTCTATACCAGAGACCTTTTAACCAGCTCTGCCCATCTATAGAAATGTCCTAAATACTCAGCTTCCAGCTAGTTAACTTAACTCTAAATACTCTGACATTTTTCTGGCTCAGCTATAACTGAAGAATTCCACGCTATCACTTGTTCAAGGTCAACCACACATTTTAATATTAATTATGATTAATGGCAAGCTTGCAAAATACTTTGTTTTTATGATTAATCTAATTCCTATAAGCACCGAATTATGAATTTGGAATTAATGTTTAACACCGGCCGGGACCTGGCGATTGACAGCCGAGGCTGCAAATGGCGGCGCGGGTAGGGCACGCTCATCCCCCCTACCTGGAAATGCAAAATCACGTGTATATATACGTGATTTTGTGCACCCCTGTCGCCCTGTAGCAGTATTTCTGCTATAGGGCGGAGGGGAAGCAGTTAATTTTTGAACTTTTTTGTTTTGGTTTCTTTGTATGTATGGATTGCATGGGTTGTTACCGACATGTGAAAATTTAATGTCAAAAGCACCTTTAGAATTTACCTAGAAAAATGGTGACATGTTCAATACTTATTTTTCCTGATTTGTATGCCCAACAAGGACCAGTGATGTACTGGTACATCGCTGGACTTTGAGTGGTTACACCGAGATCATGCCTGCAGCTGCAGGCATCATTCTGGTACAGTTGCAAGAAAAAGTATGTGAACCCCTTGGGATTACGTGGAGTTTTGCATGAATTGGGCATAAAATGTGCTCTGAACATCATCTAAGTCACAACAATAGAAGAACACAGTCTGTTGAACATACTACACAAACATTAGATGTTGCCATGGTTTAATTGCACATAACATGTAAACATTCACGGTGCAGGGAGGAAAAAGTATGTGAGCCCTAGCTTAATGACTTCTCCCAGAGCTAATTGGAGCCAGGAGTGAGCCAACCTTGACTCCAATCAGTGTGATATTGGATGTGTTGCTGACAGCTGTCCTGCCCTTAAAAAACAGACACCTGTTTTGGGTTTAATGGTTTCAAGAAGCACTGTCTGATGTGAACCATGCCTCGCAGAAAAGAGCTCTCCAAAGACCTACGATCAAGAATTGTTGACTTGCATGAAGCTGGAAAGGGTTACAAAAGTATCTCCAAAAGCCTTGATGTTCATGTGTCCACGGTAAGACAGACTGTCTACAAATGGAGAAAGTTTAGCACTGTTGCTACTCTCCCTAGGCGAGGTCGTCCTGTAAAAATGACTGCAAGAGCACAGCGCAGAATGCTGCATGAGGTAAAGAAGAATCCCAGAGTGTCAGCTAAAGACCTACAGAAATCTCTGGCATATGCTAACATTTTTGTTGACACATCTACAATAAGGAAAACATTAAACAAGAATGGAGCATGGGAGGACAACACGGAGGAAGCCATTGCTGTCCAAAAAGAATATTGCAGCACGTTTGAAGTTTGCAAAAGAGCACCTGGATGTTCCACAGCACTACTGGCAAAATATACTGTGGACAGATGAAACCAAGATTGAGTTGTTTGGGAAGAACACACAATACTATGTGTGGAGAAAAAAAGGCACAGCACACCGACATCAAAACCTCATCCCCACTGTAAAACATGGCGGAGGGAGCATCATGGTTTGGGGCTGCTTTGCTGCCTCAGGGCCTGGACGGATTGTTGTCATTGATGGGAAAATGAATTCCAGAGTTTATCCAGACATTTTGCAGGAAAACGTACGACCATCTGTCCGCCAACTGAAGCTCTGCAGAGGATGGGTGATGCAACAGGACAATGACCCAAAACATACAAATAATTCAACAAAACAATGGCTGCAACAGCACAGAATACGCCTTCTGGAGTGGCCCAGTCAGAGTCCTGACCTCAACCCGACTGAAATGCTGTGGCATGACCTTAAGAGAACGATTCACACCAGACATCCCAAGAATATTGCTACACTGAAACAGTTCTGTGAAGAGGAGTGGTCCAAAATTACTCCAGATCGTTGTGCAGGTCTGATCTGCAACTACAGGAAACGTTTGGTTGAGGTTATTGCTGCCAAAGGAGGGTCAACCAGTTATTAAGTCCAAAGGTTCACATACTTTTTCCTCCCTGCACTGTGAATGTTTACATGTTATGTGCAATTAAACTATGGCAACATCTAATGTTTGTGTAGTATTATGTTCAGCAGACTGTGTTCTTCTATTGTTGTGACTTAGATGACGTTCAGAGCACATTTTATGCCCAATTCATTGCAAAACTCCACGTAATCCCAAGGGGTTCACATACTTTTTCTTGCAACTGTATATCGTGTGTTTTTTTTTTTTTTTTTTTTTTTTTTTTTTTTTTCATGTGACAGCAATCTTAGTGGTTAATTTGCCACTAGATTGCTTTTACAAGCAGCAGGAGGGGATGCTCCCGATGCCTTTCACGGTTTTCTCTGGCTCTCCTATCGCACCAGGGAACCCGCGAAAGCAGCCGGTGGTTCTGCCTGCTAACCACAGAGCTGATCAGAGACCGGAACGGCTCCAATCATCTCTGTGGTCTAAGAAATCGGAAGCTACAAGCATTTTATCACTTCAGTTTCGCCAGATTTAAACAGCCATTTTTAAAATAAGAAAGCATCTGATCACACTAATGTTGGTGTAATCAGATGCTTTGAGGGCAGAAGAGAGATCTAGAGTCTAATAGACCCCAGATTTCTCAGAAGAGAGTACCTGTCACTGCCTATTGCTGTCATAGGTGATATTTGCATTCCCTGTGAGAACAAAAAAAGTGATAAAAAAATAAAAGGGACAGTGTAAAAATAAAAAAGCAAAATGGACAAAAACCCAAAACAAAGAAAATCCTGCGCTTGTGAGCAAAGGCATATGCAAGCGTCGGCCCATTGTAAGTAAACCGTGGTTGCACCATGCATGTGAGGTAGCACGATCCTGTGTAAATCTAAAGTGGCAGTCTGTAAAGGCTTTTAAATCTTAGCCTATGGATGTTAAAAATGTATTTAGTTTGTTGCCTTTGCATGGGGCCTGCACAGTTTTAAAGCATGTCATGTTTGGTATCTTTTTAATCGGCGTAACATCATCTTTTATATCTGACCAAACAATTGGGCAATACATTGTTTTTGTTTATTAACCACTTGCCAACTGTGCGTTAGCCGAATGACTGCTACAGCCTGGTTGTCCAGTCCTGGGAAGGCGTCACATGACGCCCTCCCGCACGCCCCCAGGGTGTGCACCTGGCTATCTCCGTGATCGCTGTGTCCTACGGACACAGCTGATCGTGTGATGTGGTAAAAGGACAATCACAGCGACTCTCCCTCCTCTCCCTCTCCCTCCCTCCCTCCCTCCCCTCCCTCCCTCTCCCTCCCTCCCTCTCCCTCCCTCTCCCTCCCCTCCCTCCCTCTCCCTCCCTCCCCTCCCCCTCCCTCCCCTCTCCCTCCCTCTCCCCTCCCTCCCTCTCCCTCCCTCTCCCTCCCTCCCTCTCCCTCCCTCCCTCTCCCTCCCTCCCTCTCCCTCCCTCCCTCCCTCCCTCCCTCTCCCTCCCTCCCTCCCTCTCCCTCCCTCTCCCTCCCTCTCCTCTCCCTCCCTCCCTCCCCTCCCTCTCCCTCCCTCCCTCCCTCCCTCCCTCCCTCCCTCCCTCCCTCCCTCCCTCCCTCCCTCCCTCTCCCTCCCTCTCCCCCCTCTCCCTCCCTCCCTCCCTCTCCTCCCTCTCCCTCCCTCCCTCCCTCTCCTCCCTCCCTCCCTCCCTCCCTCCCCCTCTCCTCCCTCTCCCTCCCTCCCTCTCCTCACTCTCCATATATATATATATATATATATATATATATATATATATATATATATATATATATATATATATATATATTTATGTTGGTGTTCCAGTAAGGGAATAAATCTGTTACATGTGGCCCCCTTCAATCACACTCTAGGGCCGTGTTAGGTGAATAAATGATGGTCAACAACCACAAAGCAAAAGTTTACAAATGGTAGATAGTGGTGCTCCACTCTGGATAAATTCATGCAAATAAGTGATCACACAGGTAACTTCCAGTGACGGTGAATGCACACTCCTTCTGTGGCTAAATTGCCTCCTCACCTCCACTCTGTGACTTAAAGGGCCAACACGCCTTTAAGATCACTGAAGGATCTTGTTCCAATAGCGGTGGGTATCCTCAGCAGAACTTTCATGGACCCCTCATCAGGTAGGTAAACATTCAAGGTTGACTGGCTCCTGTTCTCAGCTAGGTATACCACTCGTCCAAACAATAAGCAAAGGAAGAATCTCTCATAGTGTAGTATTGATAAGAAGTAAGGTGCTTCTATTAATAAAAAATGCTTCACTCACATAATGCAATATTGGTCCTCTGTCACAAACCGCATGCATGGGTTTCAGGCTGCTGAAGGTGTGCCAAGATGGCGGCCGTACTGGATGTACCACCAAAAGATAGTTCTGCTTGTCTCAGATAATGCATGACTGAGTAATTCAAAGCACAGCACTGAAAGCTGAAAATTGGCCTGGGCAGGAAGAGGGTGAAAGTGTCCAGTATTGAGGTGGTTGTAAACCCTTATATACCCAGTGAAATGATTAGGCTCAGTTGATACAGAGATTTAAGTTGTTACTCAGACTATGTGCTGGAGGTCCATCCCCATCACTTTTTTTTTTTTTTTTTTTTTTTGTGAGGAAAAGTTATTCATGCTAATAGCAGAGGAACAAAGCCGCAGACAAAAATTACACTGTGTTTTTGATCCAAGTACACACTATGGAGGGATATGCTTTAATATTTAATGTCTGAGCAATTACAAGCAAAGTAGAATTCCACACTAACATTAACTAGTCTTAAAAATGTTGGCTCGTCCTACCTATACTGCTAAAGATGTTTACACTTACCTATTTTTACTTTGCTCCTATCTGGTCATGTGATGCGCAGCTCCCCCATGTCAGTCTGTGGTGGCTGCAGGGGAGAAGAGTGTAAGCAATGACTGGGCTATGGGAGCCTATGAGTGATGTCACGGCTCCTGAAATTCCCAGCTGTTGGGTGCTCCCTCTTCTCCCATGTAGCTACTGCTCACTAACGCAGTTGATCACGTGACCGAAGTAGGCTACAAATAGGTAAGAAGCAGAAGTAAATGCAAATTTTTTCCCCCATTTTGGATAGGTAAGGGAAGGGCAATGGCTCAAGTGTCCCCATTCCTGTTCTGAATCCTAAAATTTGAGCTTTTCCTTCAGTTTCGCTTTTTGTGAAAATAAACAACCTGGATACATTGAGAGGATGAATCTCCCTAAAAGGGGCACAGAGAGCAATAAAAACTATACACTAGATTGTAAGCTCGAAAGAGCAGGGCCCTCGATCCCCTCATGTTTTGCATTGTATTGG